ATCTACCTATCTACCTATCTATCTATCTATCTATCTATCTATCTATCTATCTATCTATCTATCTATCTATCTATCTATCTATCTATCTATCTATCTATCTATCTATCTATCTATCTATCTATCTATCTATCTATCTATCTATCTATCTATCTATCTATCTATCTATCTATCTATCTATCTATCTATCTATCTATCTATCTATCTATCTATCTATCTATCTATCTATCTATCTATCTATCTATCTATCTATCTATCTATCTATCCTTAGGTGTAGGGTGTAAAAATACACTCTACATTAAACGCAAACATTTTACATTACTACAGTTACTGCACAGATTCCAACATAATAATTGCGAAAGTTATTGTTATATGTTTTTCCTAAAGTTTTTCTCTTTTATTACAACTAAATCCCTAAAGACCTGCAATACAAAATGCATTATAACAAATAACAACAGCAGCAACAACTACCCCTACAAACATTTTCTATTGCGGAAGTTACCCGTGTGAAACTTCCAAACGTGCTAAAAGCTCGCCAGCGATGTTGCGGAAGTATAAGAATTCTTGTCACCAGTCGGGAAGAACTGATGCCGAGCTGGGGAACGTCTAAGAGTAACTTGGAAGATACTTCTGGAAGACCCGCAGAAGAAACTTCTAGATGACTCTTGGAAGTAAGGCATTGCCAAAGACTCTTCTAGATGTGACTAGGAAGTCACTTCTTAAAGTGACTACCTAGTATCCTCTAGAAGTGTTCCTATTTTATCTTCTAGAAGATGAGTTTTCTCTTCTTCTCGAAGATGAGTTTTCTCTTCCTCTAGAAGAAGAGTATTCTCTTCTTCTATTTGTATACTCACCAAAATAAAATCTATAAAAATAAATCTAAATAAAATGAAATTTTATAGTTTTTATTGAATTAATTGAAATTAAAATAGTAGAAAATATAATTGATTTAACAACTAATCTAAAAAAAGTAATATATGTACATTAGACCGACTCACAAAAAATGGTGCTTGAGTTACCCCCCCCATAATATTCGCTGTTATGTAATATGATGTTACCCAACATATTTTCGGTTAAGTGTTGTCCATTCGTGAGCTGGACAGTTTTAAAGAAAATATCGTATGGGAACACGATTCTTCATGTTAAATTCAATATTTTATCCAGCTTCAAAAAATCTTTGTTATGTTTTATAATGGTTCCCAAAATATTTCTAGTCTATCGATGGCCGTTCGTGAGCTGAACCGGTTACAAAAAAGTCCCTTTTTAGTTATTTTGTTTTAAATTATACAGCATTTCTTAAACAATATATATAGAATGTGGTATCATTTGAAAGGTTTTTTGAAGCCAAGTCTAGTGGTGCGCAAAATTTGCAAAATTGTGCATACATTTCATTTTTCTTAGTGAAAAACCTAAAAATTTTGGAATATGACAATTATAAGCAAACGGTTATTTATGATTAATACATCATTGGACGCGACTTTAAAATACCTTTTAAACGACACCCCGTATTGGATATTTTGTTTCAAAACAAACAAAAATTAAAAAAAAATAATTCCAAAATACCTTTTTTTAATTTGGTCCAGCTCACAAACGGTCACTTAAAATATTTTGGGAACCATCATAAAACAAAGCAAGGTAAATTTTGAGAGGGGTAACAAAAACACGTTTTTGCTTTCCATACAGAGTTAGTCGGTCTAATGTACATATGTATCAAAAATTTAGAATTATTACCTTATAATAAGATAATTTTCAGGAAATCTGTATTAATATTCCAACTGCTGACTGGTATACTTCCAAAAATTGTAAAACGTTGGACTCTAAAATATTTTTGTAGTTCTTCATCAATTTTATGATTAATCCATCAAATTGTAAGAGTTATATTTTGGAACGCATTAATCCTTCAACGAAATAAACCAAAATAATCTTATAATTAATATTGAATATACATACTTTTGTATTTATTGAAATTACCTGTTATACTTTAGGAAGCAATAGAAATAGGATTCTCTTATGTCCAATACATTTACCACCAAAGTTTAAACGGTCAGATCCATTTTTTACATTTTCTGCAAATAATCGACATTTTTAATGGAACCGCGTGATGAAATAAGACATATATCACTTACCAGATCCCTTTTTATACCCTACACCACTATAGTGGGGAGGGTATTATACGTTTGTGCTGATGTTTGTAACACACAAAAATATTGGTCCTACACCCACCTTTAAGTATACCGATCGACTCAAAATCACATTTTGAGTCGATTAAGACATGTCCGTCCGTCTGTCCGGCTGGCTGGCTGTCCATGTAACCCTTGTGCCCAAGGTACAGGCCGCAATTTTCAAGATAATTTGATGAAATTTGGACCAAGCATGTTTTTTGGCACAAGGACGAAAATGGTTGAAATCGGTCCATTATTTCACCTAGCCCCCATACAACCGTACCTCCCGATTTGGGCTTTTTATGCCATAATTACGTCAAATATGTTATTATCTCTCTAAAAATTTGCACAAATAAGTTTTATATAAGTATAAATGACACTGCATAATTTCGTAATGATCGGCCTTTATTTGACCCTAGCCCCCATACAAACCCCCCTTCAAAAAATGTCTTAAACGTCTAAAATTGACTTGTAACCATTGCAATGAAACTCAACATAATTAACTATTATTTACAAATATATCCTTTAATGAGGATCGGCCCATGTTTGACCTATACTCCTATATAAAGCCTCATTTAGAAAATTTGTTTTTATCAATAAATTGCTTAAATACTTTGGAATTAAGGTAAAATTCAACATAAAAGTTTCTTTGTGAAAAATAAAAATTTTTAAAATATACTCATGGTGTAGGGTATTTTATGGTCGGCCATGCCCGACTATACTTTCCCACTCGTTTATATTTTAATTCGGTTAGAAGTATTTTAATAGGGAGTACAATATTAGCTACTGCCTTCTAAAAAAAATAAAATAAATAAAAATTAATTCATTTATTTATTTATTATTTTGAATCAATAAAAACATTACCTTTCATGAACATTTTTTAAATAACTTGGAATTAAACTGTCTATAATGATCTGAAATTACTAAGGGATTATTTTTAAAATTATTTACAGTCACCTTAACGACCCTAAACGGGATATTGCTTTTGACACTAATACTGCAATACTATTTTTTGTTTGCTCTCTTCTAATTAAGGAGTTATACACGTTCAAAAACCATCTACCTGGTGTTAATAACTAAAAAGTACCTATAATTAGAATAATTAAATCCAAAGCTATATGAAAATTAATAAAATTGTATTTATTTAAAAAAGGTGGTTTTAAAAATATCTGATTTTAATATTAAATATCTTATATGGGCAATTTCGTGTCGAGTGACCCAAGTCAAAAAATAATTTATGTATAAAACAGTAGTATTAATTTCAGTTCTAATAAATCTAAATAGGTTAAAAATGCAATGTTCATCAAATAAAAGCCGAAACGTACAACTTGAAAAAGTCTTTAAATGCTTATAACTCCTAAACCAATTAAGAGAGAGACGAAATTTAATATAAAAACATTTTTAATTAAACATATTAGACTTCGTGTAAAAATAATGGAAATGGAAGCCGTTTAGAGTTGTTAACTTATTCCTAAAATAGTATTTTAATGTAAAATATGACAACTTACTTTTTAATTTTATTTATTTATCCTTGAAGATAATTACTTTTTGGTATATATTTAATAAACTTCACCAATTAACAAACCTTCTTAAATGTTTATTAACAGTTGACTTTTAACACAACACTGTCATATTGTTTTTTATTACTTAAGATTTACAATATATTAATTACACTATTTTTCTATGAACATTAAATTCAATAACTCATTAAGTTTTACAATGAATAATTAAAACTGAACATGACTGGACAAAACACAAAACATCACTGAACTTAGCAAAATTTCTGCATTATTTATTTTTTTCGCGTTCACGCTAAAAAATGGAGTATTTATATTTTTTTGTTTTTGTATTCTTCTTACTATCATCCGGAAGTAACCTAAAAGTATACTTCCATACTGCGAAAACTAGAAATCAATGTATTTTGTTTTTGTAAAATGTGCGCTCTCGTCTGACAATCGTCCAGAAGTGACTACAATCCACACTATCAGATGAATAAAATACAACATTAATGTGAACACTCTTCAAACTGTCTTCCAGAAGTGACATAAACATACAAATCAAGAAGATACAAATTAGGAAACAATGTATTTTGTTATTGTAAAATGTGCGTTCTCACCCAACTCTTATACAGAAGTCACTAAAACGTATACTTCCAGATGAAAAAAATTCAACAGTCATGGTTTTTTGTTTAAGCAAAATGGATGCACTCTTCTAACTATCATCCGGAAGTAACTTAAAAGTATATTTCTAGAAGACGAAAATTCGAAATCAATGTATTTTGTTTTTGTAAAATGTGCGTTCTCGTCTGACAATCGTCCAGAAGTGTTTCTGACGTGTCGTCTGGGGTGATGCGCAATAGTTTTCTCTTTTAAATGTTTGAAGGGAATATTCATAAAATAAAAACAGATTGAATGTATGAATGGATGTGTGTATATGTGACAGTGAATGAATGTAAAAACAAGTATGCAACACATTTTTAAAACATGTGACAGAAAACAATATAAGTTATAAAACACTATATGTTTGCATGTTGTACATGTAAGAAGAGCTTTTGTAATGGGCTTTCATATGAATATATAACTTTGGCCAGTTAACAATATAAAACAAAAATTTTTATATAAATTACAAGTACACTAACAGACAGACATACATGTGTATTTTCATTTTCAGCAATAGCAACAACATTACTTATATATTGCCATTACTAATATTTTATTTATAGAGAAAATATTTGTACCCAAAAAAAAATGTATGCTTGAGAAATGGAATTTTTAATTATTTTACTTGTAAAACAACAGCAGCAACAATAGTAAAATTATTAAATAGTTTTTTTGTACATAC